CTGCTCTGTGCGTGACAGGGGAGAGCTCCCTAACCCCCTGATGGTGCCCTGCTCTGTGCGTGACAGCGGGGAGCTCCTCAACCCCCTGATCGGCCCTGCTCTGTGTGTGACAGGGCAGCGCCCCAACCCCCTGATCGGCCCTGCTCTGTGTGTGACAGGGTATGGAGCCCCAACCCCCCTGATGGGCCCTGCTCTGTGCATGACGGGGTGGCACCGCAACCTCCCCATTGACCCTGCCTTGAGTGTGACAGGGGGCGGTGCCCCAACCCCCCAATCGGCCCTACCCTGAGCGTGACTGAGGGTGGCATCGCAACCTCCCAATCCGCCCTGCTCTGTGCATGACGGGGCAGCGCCCCAACTCCCCAATCGGCCCTGCTCTGAGCCCGACCAGGGGCTGCACCTAGGGATTGGGCCTGCCCTCTGCCACTTGGGAGCAGGCCCAAGCCAGCAGGTCATTATCTCCTGAGGGGTCCCAGACTGTGAGAGGGCACAGGACGGGCTGAGGGCCCCCCCCCCCCCCCCGAGTGCACAAATTTTTGTTCACCGGGCCTCTAGTTTTCCATCTTTGATTTTCTGGGCTTAAAATTAGTCATATTGAAATAGTAATTATTTTATGGTTGAATACTATTAAAACAACTATAATAATAGTTCCTTATACTACTATTATATCCCAAAATAAAGTTTAATTGTGAAACATTTAAAATGGCCACATTTATGTAGTATTTACAGCTAAAAATCCTATTTGGGGGAAGGTGGGGGCTTGCAATACTATTTTTTTAACTCTATCTAAAGCTTTTTCTGGTGGCTGTGATTACAGCAGTAAAAGTCTGTTTGGTAATATAATTTTTTTTCATTTTAGAAGTTTTAAAGATTAAAACATATAAGAATTTATTTTAATTTAGTGTTATTTTTAATGTGAACCTGAAGACAGAATTTGAGAAATTGACTTAATAAATAATAGGGAAAATGAAAATAAGTAAATAATGATTCAATTAAGGACACCTAGTTATTGTGTTAAAAACCGAACTAGTAAATACAAGAAAAGATTTCCCAGATAATGCAATACTTTTCATAAGTAGAGACTTATGTGCTTTAATAAAATAGATGGAAATACATGTAATTGGATATAATTACCACATTTCTCTGCTCTCTACAAAGAAGAACTTTTCAAAAGACCTATCATACTTCGTACTTGATTTCTCTTTATCTTTCTTGGTCAGCCTTTACTGTCCACTGACACTGGACTTGTCATGGTCATCAGTAGCCCCTGGCACCAGGCTTTCCAGTTGTTTCATTCTCCTATCTTACATTACCTCTCAGCTGTAGTCTTCAGTTGACCTCTCCCTCTTTGTTCACACTGGCTATTCTCAGGGCTGCCATACCTCAGATTATCTCTGTGTTCTGTCTCTTTTTCTTTATTTCTTTTATAGCCTGTTTTTTTCATTCAAGGCAGTGTTGTGGTGCCTAGGTTTGCTTACTAACTTGCTTTTCCCTTTTTCTACTTTTGCCCTCTATCGTCCAAAACAAAAACTTTTAATTTATACGGGATTCAGTTATTAAACAAAAAGCAAAAATCTTTAATCATTTCATCACCTTGCATAAAACTCGTCTGGTAGACTTCCTCTTGCACTTAGAATAAAGTCTGGATGTTCCTTTTTTTCTCCCATATTTTATCAACCCTATTTAATATGGTCACTGCCCATTTGCTCAGTACATATAGCTGTGCTCCCCAGATACCAAGCTCTGGTTTTTGCACATGCTCATCTTCTACCTTCAAACACTTTTCCTCTCCTCATTTATTTGAGGTTCTTTTTTTAGGTCATTTAGGTTCAGTTAGATTGGATGATACCTCTTTGGAGTGGCCTTCCATAACCACTTTGTCTAGAGTGGTTCCCCCACCTTACCTAGCAGTCTTATTTTCTTCATATCATGTGAAAATCTGATATGTATTTACTTATATGTTTGTTGTCTGTCTTCCCCCACTAGAACATATGCTTCCTGAGGGCAAGAAAGGGCCTTGTCTGCTTTGTTCTTCAACACTCAGAGCATTCACTGGCACCTTAAAGGGCTCCATAAGTCCTGTTAACTGAATGAAGAAATAAATTTTTCTTTAAATTTACTTACAGAGAAAGGAGGATCTTTTTTGTTGTTGTTCTAACTTATTTTCTCCCCTTCTCAGAAAATGTGCAAGACTCAATATACTTTTGTAATTAGTCTATCAAGTAAAACTAAGAATACCAAATACATTCATATAGAGAAAAATTTATTCTTACCTCCCTTATTTAAAGGAGATAGTAGAAGCGTTGGTACTTTAAAGTTGGGGAGAAAATTACTTTGATCGCAGATTGGAATTTTTTATCTATTATATGATGCATTAGAGCAAGCGTGTCAAACCCAAAGGCTAACACAGGCCAGATAAACAAGGAAAGTTTATATGGGCTGCAAGAAAATAAAACTTCAATTTCATAGAAACATAGGTTTATTTTGATAGAGACATGCTGAATACAAAGGGCTGAAATAAATGAGTAATCGTTAACACAAAATAATAGAACATTTTAATAAAAATTAGTATTTTTTTCTTGAACATTAACTTACCACACACTGAATAACTGCACAAATTAATAAGCATAATGCAAATAAACCTATTTTTCTTGTTCTCCGAAAGCGAAATATTTCCTGTTGCGCACACTAAACAAGTCAGTCCAAGACTAATGATGTGGCAATCGGCTGCTAAAATATTTGCTGCTGGTATTAGTGGAGAGAAATGGTGCGCCTGCGCATAAGGCTCTTAAGGGAAATGAATGCAACACGATTATAGTAATCAATCATTAGCGAACGTTGTAGTTCATTATTAGTAATTATGTGTAACAGGATATTGTAAAAATTAAGTTACGGAATTTTTATTAAAATGTTTCTTACATACTGTTTTATTGGCTGGGCTGCAAAAATATCCATTGTGGGCTGCATGCGGCCCATGGGCCGCAAGTTTGACTGACATGCTTGCATTAGAGTCTGGAATACAGTGTGGTACAACTCCATGATATGTAATATTTAGCTATTATATGTGATTTTAAAATATGTAAAATTGCGCATGTTAATTTAAAACTCTCTCTCCACATTCATAGGATGTAATCCCTGTTCATTACTATCTAATATCTCCACCAACAAAGACTAAGAATGGCAGCAAAGATAAAGAAAAAGATTTAGAAAAAGAGAAGGATTTCAAAGAAGAGTTTACTGAAGCATTACGAGATCTTAAAATTCAATGGATGACAAAGTAAGTTTTTAATGTATTTTAATCCTCAAAGAGTTTACTTTTATTTTCCCCTTTACAACAATATTATGTGTATATGCTATATTCAAAAAATGTTAGCAGTAGATAGTAGGATTACAGGTACTTTTAAATTTTCCTATATTTATTATAGAATTCTCTTTTGTGATAAGAATCTTTTAAATTTTTATGTTAGTTTCTTATTCTGATTTACTCTTAGAAGAGAATTTTATTGGAAGGTATAAAAAGAAAATAAAAGCATGGAACAGACAGATCTAACAGGGAAGTGGGGAGGGGACAGGAAGAGGTTAACCAAAGAATTTATATGTATATATGCATAACCCAAGGGTATAGACAATAGTGCAATGAAGGCCTGGGGTGGGGCGAGAGCCAGGTGGAGGGGTAAAGGGAGGGATGGGAGACATCTATAGTACTCCCAACAGTAAAAAAGAAAAATCACTTTGCCCATTCTCCAAAGATAATCAATGTGCTAGTGTTATTTACCTCTGTATTTACATGTAGCAGTGTAAATGATATTGATGTATCCTAGTTTTCTAATTACTGTATTATATGACTATTTCCTATGTCATTTAATAGTCCTTTAAAATGCCATTTTTATTTTTTTTAATTTTTTCTGGTTTAAGTAAAAAAAGTTTATCCATTTCTCCCACTCCCACCCTCTGCCTCTGGGAAACACCAACTGTCCTCTATATTTATGTGCTTAATTTTGTTTTCTTTGGATAAATACAAAGAAGTGGAATTGCTGGATCATATGGTAGTTCTATTTTCAATTTTTGAGAAACCTCCATACTGTTTACTGTAGTGCACAAGGATTCCCTTTTCTCTACATTCTTGTCAACAATGTTTTTTCTAGTCCTTTTGATAATAGCTATTCTAGCAGATATGAAGTGATATCTCATTGTGATTTTGACTGGGCATTTCCCTGGTAATGAAGATGCTGAGCATCTTCTCATGTACCTATTGGCCAACTATATGTCTTCTTTGGAAAAATGTCTATTCAGATCTTCTGCCCATTTTTTACATTAAATTCTTTGGGATAACATTGGTTGATAGGATTATATAGGTTTCAAGTGTGTGCATTTCTATAATATATGATCTGCATATTATATTGTGTACCCCACTCAAAGTCATATCATTTTCCATCACCATATACTTGGCCCCTTTAGCCTTTACCATTCCTCCACCCCATTCCCTCTGATAAGCACAATACTGTTGTTTCTGTCTATGAATTTCAGTTTTATATTCCACATATGAGTGAAATCATATGGTTCTTAGTTTTTTCTGACTGACTTATTTCGCTTAGTACAATATTCTCATGGTCCATTCATGTTGTCACAAATGGCAGTATTTCAGCTGTTCTAATAGCTGAGTAGTAGTCCATTGTATATATGTACTACATCTTTATCCAACCCTCTTTTGAGGGCACTTTGTCTCTGTGTCTTATCCACTGTGAGTAATGCTACAACGAACATAGGAGTTCATATATCTTTGCAAATAAATGTTTTCAAATCTTTCCAGTAGATACCCAGAAGAGGCATTTCTGGGTCATATGATTATTCTATTCTTAATTTTTTAAAAATATATTTTATTGATTTTTTTACAGAGAGGAAGGGAGAGGGATAGAGAGTTAGAAACATCGATGAGAGAGAAACATCGATCAGCTGCCTACTGCACACTCCCCACTGGGAATGCGCCCGCAAACAAGGCACATACCCCTGACCAGAATCAAACCTGGGACCCTTGATTCCGCAGGCTGACGCTCTATCCGCTGAGCCAAACCGGCTAGGGCTATTCTTAATTTTTTGAGGAAATCACCATACTGTTTTCCTTAGTGGTTGCACCAGTTTACATTCCCACCACCAGTGAATAAGGGTTCCTTTTTCTCCACAGCCTCTCCAACACCTGTTGTTATTCCGTCTTGTAGATGATAGCTATTCTAAGATGAATGAGGTGGTATCTCATTGTAGTTTTGATTTGCTTTTCCCTAAAAGCTAATGAAGTTGAACATCTTTTCAAATGTTGGTTGGTCATTTGTATGTTTCCTCAGGAGAGGTATCAGTACAGGGCCTCTGTCCATTTTATAATTGGATTGTTTGTTTGGTGTTGAGTTGTGTAAGTTTTTTATATATTTTGGATATTAAGCCCATGTTGGAGATGTCTTCCATTCAGTTGATTGCCTTTTTGCATTGTTGTCTTTTTTTTTTTTTTTTTTGCTGTGCAGAAACTTTTTAGTTTGATATAGCCCCATTTATTTATTTTTGCATTTCCTTGCCTTTGGGGTCAAATTCATAAAATGTTCTTTAAGACCAAGGTCCATAAGTAGTACTTATGTTTTCTTCTATGTAATTTGCTAGAGGCCCGGTGCATGAAATTCATGCACGGGTAGGGTCCCCAGGCCTGGCCAGTGATCAGGGCTGATCAGGTTCCCCACCTCCCCGCCTCCTCCTTCCCTCGCTCCCTCAGTGCTCCATTGCCACTGCTGGTCATCCACCATGTTCTACACCACCCCCTGGTACACGTCATAGCAAGCAATCAAACTCCCGGGGGTACAATTTGCATATTAGCCTTTTATTATATAGGATTGTTTCAGATCTTATATTTAGATCTTTGATCAACTAATGTATCTTATGTAATAAAAGCCTAATATGCTAAGTGTTTGGTCATATGTTCAACCAATCAAAGGGTAATATGGTAATGATATGCTAAGGCCACTCAACCACTCTCTATGACGTGCACTGACCACCAGGGGGCAGGTGCTCCAACCGGTAGGTTAGCCTGCTGCTGGGGTCCAGCCATGGGCTGGACATGCTCTGGAACCCTCCCACGGTCACTCCCCGGCCCCAATCGTGCATTTCTTTAGTAGCTGTTAAATTTGAGCTTTTTAAATGTTATTCATTCGTTGTATAGCTTCTGTCAGTTGAACCATGTTCTTTGCCTGTTTTTCTATTGGCACATCAGATTTTTCTTTTAACATAGAATATATTAATGCTCTATTGTACTTGTCACAGAATTTTTCCCCAACTTATCATTTGACTTTTAACTTACATTTTACATAAGAATGTATTCTATGTAGTAAAATTGATTGCTTTTTCCATTTGTGATATGCAGTACAGTGGGGCCTTGACTTATGAGTGTCCCGACTAATGAGTTTTTTGAGATACCAGCTGTCTCTCAGCTGATTTTTTGCATTGAGTTGACAGAGTAATTTGAGTTAACGAGCTCGGTCTCGGAACGAATTAAACTCGTAAGTCAAGGCCCCACTGTATTTCTTTTACCACTGATTTTCTATTGGAGTCCTCATAGCTGATTATGTGTGTATCCCTTCAGTCATGAGGTCTTACAGAGAACAGACATCAGATTATGAAAATGATTCCCATTATAATGTCAGTCCATATTCAAAAGTATCTTTCCATTTAAAACTAGGTTGTATCTATCAGAAATCAAAGTCTTTAGGTTAGTCTCTGGCTGGTTGTAGGATGTTATAAACAGTTGAAAATGTGATGTAAATCACTCAAAAGTGAGATTGACTTCTGGCATGATAGTGATGCAGACATTTTATGCCAGGCTGGTTCTCCTCAGCTCCAGGTCACAGGAATTTCTTCTGGGAGGAGCAGGATTTTGGAATTTCTCATATAGCCCAGATGCCTATTGTTGAGGCTAATTTTCAGGCAAATGTGGTCAAGAAGTGCGGGCTCTTTTTTCTGCTCAGCTGCTACTTTTCTGCCTTGGGTTTGAGGCTCCAGTCACCTCACCCCAGCTCAGGATGCAGTGGTTCCATTTCAGGCAAGTCAAACCGAGAAGACTACTGGCTACTGCTTCCCACTCCATGTAATCAGGAAGAACTGGCCTAGTTTTATTCAATTTCCCCATCTGGGAACATGGAATGTCTCTTTATTCAATCAAGACTTTAGATTTTTCAGAAAGAGTTACATTTTTCTTTTGATCTCGGACATTTCTAAATCTTTATTTTTTCTTGCTATTTGTGAATGTTTTCCCCTCCCTTTTTTTTTTAAAAAACAACAACGTTGTTGTCATTTGTCATTAGTATTTTTTAAAAATATAGTTTTATTGATTTCAGAGAGGAAGGGAGAGGAAGAGAGAGACAGAAACATCAACAATGAGAGAGAATCATTGACCAGCTGCCTGCCACATGCCCCTAACTGGGGACCGAGCCCACAACCCAGGCATGTGCCCTGACGGGAATAAAACTGCAACCCCCTGGTTCACAGGTCAATGCTCACCATTGAGCCACACTGGTTGGGCTTTTTCCTCTATTTGGGAAAGCTGTCGATGCTTATTTTTATCTTCCATCCTATTGAACTCTTAATTGAAATGATTTTCATTTTTTTATTTCATTGATTTTTTAGGTAAGCATATTTATACCACCTGCAAATAATGATAATCCTTGTCATTAGGTATACTTATATTTCAAATTGAAGCCTTATATTATTGACTGGAACTTTAAAACAATGTTAAAAAATAGGAAATATGGAAATTTTCTTTCTAAAATAAATGAAATAATGATTTTTCTTTCTTTTGTATATAGGCTGGATTCTAGTGATATTTATAATGAATTGAAAGAAACATACCCTAATTATCTTCCTCTATATGTTGCACGACTTCATCAGTTGGATGCTGAAAAGGTTGAGCCTGTTCATTTTTAATATGAGTATCTTATTTTGTTTGTAATATTAAATAAGGTTTGTGTTTTGAATTAAGACAAACTTATATTTGTCTTCTATTCTTGCTGAAAATGTGTTTCCTCAAGTTGACTGTTCCATTAAGCTGTTTTCATTTAAGCTAAGTAAAGAACCTGACCATTACTATAAGTTTAGGATTCTTGCTCTTTGATCACTGGGAGTAGTAGTAGTAGTTAAGATACTCTAAGGATTGCTTTTCTGGCGTTAACCTACAGGGCAAGGAACAGAGGCAGTGGTCCTAGCCTGTGCAAATCCTAATATCTTCAGCAAAAGAAGCACCCCTTACTTTGCATTAAGTTTGTTTACAGTTCTTGCTTTTAAGAAATAGCTATAATTTCATACTTTATTAACATGGCCAGCTCTCATTAGTAATCATGGTAATAGGAATAAGCTAGCCATAATCATTTAAAAATTATCAAGGGTTTAGAGTGAACTAGAAAGTGTTGAAAGGAGACCTAAAAGACTTGAACAGGAGAAGCAGATTACTAAGAACACCATGAATAATCGTAAACTTGTTTCATTAGCTAGTGCTTTTTTTACTTCTGTTTTTATGTGGCAGGTGGCATGCAACTGAGGTAAATAGCCAATCTCTAAAATATTTTCTTAAGATACCCAGAAAAGGAGTTGCCTTTGTAGAAAACACTTTACATTTTTATGAAATTTATCTTTTGCTTACTCTCACCACTTAAGGCCAATGGGGAGTGTAAATTAGGTATTTTCTTGTCTAAGCTCAGCTTTTGAAGAGATGCTGACAGTTACAAAGATCTTGGTAGGAGTGCAGAGCCCCCTGGGCTGCAAGTGGACTATATAGTCCCCTCACACTGGAGTTGAGACAACAGACATGTAAATGCTTCAATATACTCATTGATAACATGCTTTTTTTTTTTTCCTTCCTTTTACCTTTTTTTCCTCTCCAGGAACGAATGAAAAGACTTAATGAAATTGTTGAAGCTGCAGATGCTGTTATTTCTCATATAGATCAAACGGCCCTAGCAATTTATATTGCTATGAAGACTGACCCCAGGCCCGATGCAGCTACTATAAAAAAGTACCTAACCAGTAAATAATCTTTCTTGCATCTCATTTCTTAGTTACCTTTTTAAAAATAGGGATTGATATTATTGAGAATATTTTTCCTTCTTGGTATTTGTTATATCCTTATAACTAATGAGTTGTCAAGATTTAGATACTCCCTCCTTAGATACTTTGTCATAATTTTCTTTAATCATTTTAAGATGAAGCAGAAGAAAAGCAGTTTGCTTTCTTTACCATTAGATTCAGTCCTGGTAGAGATTTGTTACATCAGAAGAAGATAAAGATACCTGCCCTGGAGCAAGGCAGTCTACCTTAGTGATTAAGAGTAGGGATTCCAGAAAAAGACTAAGTAGCTTAGAATCCTGGATCTGCCACTTCCTAATTGTAGGACCTTGAGCAAATGCTTAATCTCTTTGTGCCTCAGTTTTTCCCTTTGCAAAATGGGGGTAATTAATAGTATCTTACTCATAGAATTGTTTTGAGTATAAAATGGTAAAAGAGTTCCTGGCACAGAGTAAGCATTGTATTTGTTTTCTGATGGCATTCTTTTTCAACCAAGTCCATCTGTTCTAACCCATTTAACCTGTGTAAAAATAGTGGCTCATTGGATGTTTATTAGAAATTTTATTTGATGTACGATACAAATGTATATACATAGCTACTTAATAACATCTCTGCATTGTAAATATTAAGCAAAAAAATGCATGGGTTTAATTCAGATAAGGCTGTACTTTTAAAGAAATTTTACTTATCTGTGAAATGTATTTTGATTTGGTGTGCAGTGACATGGACAAACAGAAATCCACCCTCGTAGATGCCCTGTGTAGAAAAGGATGTGCCCTGGCCGACCATCTTCTTCAAGCACAGGATCAAGATGGGGCTGTTTCCAGTGATGCAGAAGGAAGAGAAGAAGAAGGAGAAAGTACTTTGGATTCTCTGACGGAAACTTTTTGGGAAACTACAAAATGGACTGATCTTTTTGACAATAAGGTAACCTTTCTGCTGCTTTTTTGTGCAGTTTTTGGTTACATCACAGATTTATCTTGTGCCCCATTGCCTACTGTTTACTATTTCCCAGTTACTGGCCAGAAGAAGAAGAAGAGAATAAATGTAGTGAATGTAAGCTTGGCTCTGAAGAAGACGTGTTTAGCACTACCTATTTGTCATATCTGTTTTAAAACAATTTTTACCATTATTTTATCTGTCTGCAAAGTGGCTATTCAGCAATAATCTGAAAACAGTTTGAGAATGTATGTAGTATTCTTTTGGTTAATCTAGCTAGTTATGTATGAAGCTAAAATGAAAAATATCTTCTAGAAAGTGTCTTCATGGTGTCCCAAAAATGTATACACACACTTTGTATAATTATAAAGGCAGTATTTAATTAAAATACATTTCATTTTCAAAGTTGAGCTATCAGCTGTTATGTATACATTTTTTGGGACACCCTGTATTTATGTGCTAATTTGTCAGGGATTGGGGAGTGGGATGGTATCCTGGTTAATTTAGATATTTTTCTCAAAACTCAAACTTCTAAATAATTATCATCTTGATTTATAGCTGATCAAAATTTTGACCAGTTTAGTAAAAATAACATTGACAGATGTTTGGGTTTTGGTTATAAAATGTTTTTAAGTCCTTTTAGCTCTCTACTATAACTCTTATAGTAGACATTACAATAACTACAATTTTTTGTCAACCTTTCTTTCCCCTGGAGATAAAAAAAAAATAAAATGAAATCAGTGGAATTCTCCTTGCTTAGCACAAAAATTGTTTTGTTTTAGTAGACAGATGTTTATCTTCAAAATGAACTATGGTAATTCATAGTTGGAAAGACCGTTGGAAGTAGGGGGAAACTTCTTCCTGTATGCTTCAGGTTCCCCCCCCACTGCACAGTAGTGCATATGTAGGAGGAACTCAGTTATATTCAGGAAACTGAACCAGAGGTTAAGAATTTGGATTTGAGCCCAGCCAGTGTGGCTCAGTGGTTGAGCGCCAACCTATGAACCAAGAGGTTACGGTTCGATTCCTGGTCAGGGCACATGCCCAGGTTGCAGGCTCGATCCCCAGTGGGGGGCATGCAAAAGGCAGCCAATCAGTGATTCTCTCTCATCATTGATGTTTCTATCTCTCTTTCCCTCTCCTTTCCTCTCTAAAATCAATAAAAATATATTAAAAAAAAAAAAAGAATTTGGATCTGAAATCAGACCCCTGGAGTTTGAATCCTGCTTCTTCTACTTTTATCTGTGTGATCTTATTCTGATGTCTCAGTTTCTTATCTTTTGAGTGAGGATAGTGAATGACACTACCTACCACATTTTTATGAATGAGTATTAAGTACACAGGAGGACCTGTCACATATCTACTTTATGCCAAACACTGAAAAAAGATTGCTGCTGGAAAAAGACAAATAAGATATGGGTCCAACAGAAAGTTGATCAACATCATAATAAAATTGTTATAAATAATTATATTTCTTCTATAATACTACTGTATTAGGGGCCGTGCATTATATTACCTGCCTATTTACATTCAGAGTTAAACAATTATTTTACATTTTACTTGGCTCTAAAATACAAATAAATGCGACAGGATTTCTTTATTTGAGAATGTTCTTACATTCTAAAAGTAGAGACCAAAAAAGTAAATAAATGGTTACAAGTATATTTGACAGATATGATAGTTAAAGGTACAAAACTTGTATAAAAGTATGTAGTGGAAAGTTTATATAATTAATACATTTCTTTTATCGTTTATAATTTTGATAATTTATAATAACTATACTTTTGTACTTCTGTCATAATTTGCATTTTTGCAATCATTTAGGTTAGCCCTGCTTTCTTTTTCATGAAGAGGTATTTTGGTATGGATTTCAACAGCTAGTGAATTTATTATAAAAAATTTCTTCCTTAAGATAAATTACCTGTTCTGTGGGATACCCTCCTTTTTTGAAGACATTGTTCTTTTATTTTTATTATTATTTTTTAAAATATATTTTTATTGATTTCAGAGAGGAAGGGAGAGGGAGAGATAGAAACAGCAATGATGAGAGAGAATCACTAATTGGCTGCCTCCTGCATGCCCCCCACTGGGGATCGAGCCCACAACCCAGACATGTGTCCTTGACGGATTCGAACCTGGGACCCAGTTCACAGGCTGGCGCTCTATCCACTGAACCAAACCAGCCAGGGCGACATTGTTCTTTTAAAAATTTTTTTAAATTTCCATGATATATAACATGTTCATTTTAAAAGCTATACTTCTGTAAAAGCCTTAATTTTTCATTAAAGCTATATGCCTTAAGATATTAAATATTTCATAGATAAGCTTTATCTTATTTTACATTACAGGTTTTGACATTTGCATACAAGCATGCATTAGTAAATAAAATGTATGGGAGAGGCCTTAAATTTGCAACTAAACTTGTGGAAGAAAAACCAACAAAAGAAAACTGGAAAAATTGTATTCAAGTAAGTGATATTTCAGTTGTCACCATAAGGGTCACTTCAATACTGCATAGTGACAAGATACCTAAAAAGCCTCATGGTAGTGATATAACAGTACTGACTTTATCATGAATAATATTTAATCAATGTAATTTGAACAATAAAATAAATACATAAAGAGGCAGTCAAAAGCTATTTAAATTTTTTACTCCTGTCCAGAAAACTTGTATTTAGCTTCAGGTGTTTTTAATATACACACAATGCATTATGAATTTTGTACAGGTAGAAGACAAAGTTTTCCTTTATGAAGGAAATAATTTCTTTAAATACATATTGGCTTAATTCTAAAATGGTTGAATTTTTAGAGTTTTATATTTGATTTTCTTCATTTGAGATGATAGGCCATTATGTTATTTTATTATTATTATTTTTATTAATCCACACTCAATGATATTTTTTCTATTGATTTTTAGAGAGAGTAGAAGGGTGGGGGAGCCAGAGAAAGAAAGGAAGGAACAGAGAAACATCGAGATGAGAGAGACACATTGATTGGTTGCCTCCTGCTCGTGCTCGAATGGGCTGGGGATTGAACCCATGACCCTTTGGTGGGCCAGTGCTCTAATCACTGAAAAACACAGGCCAGGGCTTATTACATTTTTGTATCCTCACCTGAGGATATGTTTTTACTGATTTGAGAGAGAGAGCAAGGGTAGGGGAGAGAAAAAAACAGTAATGTGAGAGAGCAGTATTGATCGGTGCCTCTTGTATATCCTGGACTACGGTCAAACCCACAATCTGGGTGTGTCCTGACTGGGATTCAAACCCATGACCTTTCAGTGTATGGGATAACACACCAACCAACAACCACACCAGCCAGGGCAGCCATGATGTTATTTTATCACATATTGTACTATATTGAGTGAAATTCTGTGGTTGTCCTTTTTGCAGAAGTTAATTGTCAAGTATAAAAACTTACTGAATTCCACAGATATTATTTATTATTGACCTTGTCTTTGTGATGCGTAATTGGTTTATGCCTAAAGGGAGGTTGGGGAATGTTGGTTATGCGGTCAAGGGGCTGCTCTTTATATTTAAGGTATTCTTTGGGTGTAAAACTAACCAGTAGGTTCCTATGGAAATTTTTTATTAAACTATAGGTTATCTTTACTCTTAGACCCTTTTTTGCATACCTTTACCAGTTAAAATTGTATGACATTTTAAATTAGCTCCTTCAGATCTCTGAATAGGTTAAGAGAACTCTTTCTGGAATTAATTGTTAATAAGTCCAGTCTCATCATGTAGGCTGTACTCTGCAAACTTGTACATTTGTGAAGCCTGTGATCCACCCAGACATTGATTTCAGGGGTGTTTTGTAACTTGTCTCCCCTCCACTCTGCTTCCCTGTCTGTTTTTCAACTAGCAACCAGAAACATTGGCTTTGACACCTACTGGTGAATTTCCATTACATTTAGAATAAAATCCAAACTCCTCACTGTGGCCTATAAGGCCTCATATAATCTGGCTCCTGCCTTCCTTTCTAGCCATATCTCAGATCACACTTCCCCTGTTCACTCTGCTTCTGCCACACTAGCCTCCTTTCTGCTTGGGTGAAATCCTTGGCCACACCCTGTCCAGAGGGGACCTAACTGTTCGAGCCGTACAGAAAGCTTTTCCTCAGATGACACAGTACATTCAGGCTTCAACTTAAATGTTACCTTCTAAGAGATCTCTTTCTTGACCGTGTAACTTCCCAGTCACTCTGTATTATATGGTTTTATTTTTACTGTATACCTGATTTATATATATATATATTTTTTCACTTATTTATTCATGTATTAACTTGCTGTTTTATTATTTGGTTTTCCTGAATTGAACATAAGTTTCTAAAAATGGGAAGTCAGTTTGTTCAGTGTTGTTTTCCCAATGCCTAATTTGACTTCTAGTGGGCACTCAGAAAAAAAAAATGAATGAAAGGAAACTAGATTGGTAGGAAGGGAGCAAATAAGTTAATTGGTAAGGAAAACAAAGGTTAGTAGGAAAGAGGGAAAAAGGGAGGTTGGTTCGGATGATAATAATTACTAGGGTAGGTTAGCTGGTAGGAAAGTTTATAATTGGTAGTAAGGAACTTTGGTTCATAGAAAGGAAGGTGGGTGGATTGATGCTAGGTTGGATGGAAGGAAAGTTCTACATACTACCACATTATTACTAAATTTTTAATGCAGAATTTGCCTTAAACATTAAACTTGAAAATCTGTTCTTTAATAATATATCACTGTGTTTTGTTATAGCTGATGAAGTTACTTGGATGGACCCATTGTGCATCTTTTACTGAAAACTGGCTCCCCATCATGTATCCTCCTGATTATTGTGTATTCTAAACTGAGAACCAAGACTTTAAATTTTAAAAAAGAAAATTTTATAGTGGATGGACATAAAAACAAATTTGTGGCATTTTTAGTCTAATGCATGTTTTCATCTGCTATCAAATATTGATTATTAAAATGGTGTGTATTTATCAGAGACTTTGCTGGCGTGTGGCTTAATACATGTAAATCTAGACCTCTGACATCATGGCGTGTTCTTAATGCCTCACATTGCTGGCAATGGGCTGTGCCCTGACTGCCAGCACCAAGGACTTTCATTTGGGTTGCAGCTACTACATGCATGATAAGTTTTGAATAGTAACTTTTAACTGCAAACCTGTAAAATTCTATTTTTTATTTTATAAAAGAACAGGGTTTTAACATGTTCGACTTTAATTTTTCTCAATTGTATGAAGGCCTTAAAAAAGCTACATTAAGCGTAGCTAAAATTATTTATTGGACTAAAAAGTAACAGAATTTCACTTTCAGATATTTCAGATATTTTTTTGGTTTGTCTTTTTTTTTTAACCTTTACATTCAATTAAGGGGGGAAATTTAAAGGGGCACAAATAAATAATGTGGCAATTGCTGGGGCACTCCTTCTATAAATCTTCATCTTGGAGTAATTTCAGGCCAATCATTTTTAACATCCTTTTTATGTGCATAGCATCTGAATGAACCAATAATACATGTATAAGTGCCAGATAGCTAAATCTTTATCAGGTATTGTAAAGACACACATATGGTATGTTTATTAAAGTTGAAATAATGTAAACATATGAATAAATGTGCAAAACCAAGATCACAGTACACCATATACACTGATACCTTAATTTTTTAATAAATAAACGTGAATATTGAAGCTTCTTAAAGTTGGTCTTAATTTTTCATAATTAAAATTTTGGATTAGAACAAAAGTAATATTAAATTCGTAGACAAAAAACTTGAGGTAATTTATAATGTTTCTGATAGACTTGCAATTATTTGAATGTTTCCAATCTTATTGTGATTAGATTTTATGTATGTTTAACTTATTTTATCTTTCTGACTATTATACTTGCTTCTCTCATCCTTTCTCCGTAAAATAAATAGACACACATAGACAATATTAAAGGCTTCTTCTGACTTATAGCAAGTGTGTGTGTGCGCGCACGCACGTATGTGTGTGATTTTTAAATCTTATTTCCTTAGAATTTACTACTACATATAGAAGTTCTATTACACTACTGGGAGAACAGCAGCCGGAAGCTGGCTGGCATCCTGGGCCTGGTTCCTGCCAACTCTGTTGTTAACTAACCAGGATGCCCGCATAATTAAAAAAAAAAAAAGTTCTACCAGTAATCTTGTCTAATTGTTCATAACTGGTTTCTGGTAATTGATTCCTTTATTTGATTAATACATTAGAGCTTTATGAAAAAAATAGAAATATGCATGCCAACATTTTGCATACAATTTCTGAACCATCTAGAGTCTGAAGTCCATCAATGACCAGCTACATGCCTGTTCCCTCACAAACACTTTCACCTACATACATACAGGTCTCCCGATAAACACAGGTTCAGTCCAATAAAAAAAATTGAGAAGCTCAGAAAAGATAGGTTACTTCCTAAGGTCATGCTGCTGATTATTAATTACAAAACCTGTTTTATAATCTAGGTTTTGCCATATTTGGTAAGTACCATCTGCTTGCACAGAGCTTCTAGGTCAGCTAGAGGTGAGAGCTTGGGTCCTTCTCAAGTCTTTCCTAAGGATGTGTACTGTGTGCGTGCCCTTCTAGGTGCTCAGGAGTTTGTCAGAGCTTTCAAAGCCCCTATGAACATATTTCCTTTTAAGCTTTTTGATTAGCCCAACGGTTATCCACCATTTCAGGCAGCCACAAAATTACACAATTGCCTATAATTATCTGGACAGCCACTGGAAAAGGCCTCGGCCTAAGAGAGATCTGACTTTTCAGATAGGACTGCATTTCCAGTCGTGTAAACCAAATTCTTTCTAGAATCTGACTAAACCTGTCTAATAAAGACTGATTTGCACTTGGGGGTATTCTAGAAAACAACCAGATAAGTTAAATAATGACAATTCTCTGGAAATGGAAGTTTGGAGGAGCTCCCAACCCTATGTGGCTCCCTCCAATGACTGCCAGGCTGCTTTTCAGGACTACCATGGAGCTGGAGATGGAATGGGGATTGGGCGAATTAAAACATCACGAAATACACACTGCTCTGAGATTCAGCCATTTTAATTGCACAAACATGCCTCAGATTGCTACATGCCTTTGGTTAATTTTAGGAATTCTGAAAAAGTTGCTTTTGATAATTTTTGCTTGTTTCCCCATGGCTTAATGGAGAGAATTTTCAGAGGTGCTTCTGCATTGATGAAATGGTCCACATTGCAGTGACGTATTTTTCTTTTTAGCACAAGAATTTAGTAACCAATTTTAATGGAATTTTAAAATTAGAAACTTCCTGATTATATATTTACTTTCAAGTACTACTTCGAGTGACATCAAGATACAATACATTCTAGGATCCTTCAAGTAAGACTTATTTTTGCACAAAATCATCATCATTCCAGGGCTCCCAAATATTGACTTTATCCTTCAGGTTTTGATTTTTGTTTTTTTGTTTTTTTTAACGTGGAAGAGTTTTGGATATACGCTTTAAGAAAGGTATGGTTCTGCAGGTGCAATTAGTGGCTAGGCCCTCCTGACAGGCTGGTCAGTGCAGCCTGAACATCTATGATGCAAAACAGTCTTGACTACTGCACAGCAGGGAGTTGGCTGTACCCTTCTAGGGCAATGTATTGTTTTAGTATCATATTGCTCCTGCTTTGGGGAGAGGATTTCAAAGAAGCATGTGTTTAAGCTCTGTCCTCTCAAGGTTCTGATGTGAAAAACCACAATTCCAATATCAAGGCCAGATGTCACTGTTTTCACTAGGTGACATCTAGTGACTTTTAAGATAGGACTGCATTTCTAGAATCTGATATGCCAGTTCATATCCAAAATGTGAATAGAATGCATATCAACTGGAAATATATCATTTTCATTTTATGTAGGATTTTAAAAGTTATTAACATGTCTCAATGATTCTGTGTACCAAGGTACCTCAAAACTCATTGGTTTTAATAATCATTACTTTTCCTCATGAGTGTAACTTGGCTGGAGTTTAAACTGGACTTAGCTTATATGGTTCCAAGCCTGTCATTAAAATGTATAATTTACAGGAAGAAGAGAAGATAGAGGGACTATTAAAAGATACCTTGGTAATGCAGTGGGCATAATGCAGCAAGTAAAAATGCTATAGAACAGACTACCCAACTGCAAAAAGAAAGGCAAGATGGAGAATCTGAAGATTTGATTTGGGGTGATGAGTATACAGATTATGTATTACAGAAGTGTACACTTTAAACTATATAATTTTATTAGCCAATGTAACCCAATAAATTTAATTTTTAAAAATCTAAAAAAAAAGGGACATGCCAATCAAGCAATTAATCAAAGATGTGGACCTTATTTGGGTCCTTATTCAAACAAACTCAAAATGTCATAACATGAGAAAATTGGAAATGGGAACTGATTTTTAATATATTAATAGTATTAATCCAAAATTGTATATAAAATGTTTTTTAAATGTGATATGGTTATGTGTCATATAGATATGAACAGAATATACAGAAGAATGGATATGTCTTCAAATTTATATAGGAGCAAAGAAGTGGGTGGAGATTTAGATGAAATAAGATTTGCCATGAGTTGAATAAAAATTTACGGGGGTGAGTTTTCATAATGCTTTTGTCTTTATTTAAACAGCATTATTGAGTTATAGTTGCCATATAATAAACTACATACTTAAAGTATACAACTTATCTGTTTTATACACTGAATGGCCAGATTATTATGACCACCTGATGTTTGTAGGCAAATTAGCCGTACACTGCATCATATGGGATATGGAAGCCAAAGGCCTGTTCAAACACCTTTGCTGTCTGCAGTTACCAAGACAAAACGTCTCCAATTCACACAGGAACATAAGGATTGGACAGTCGAGCATTGGAAAAAAGTCATGTGGTCCAATAATCACATTTCCAGTTGCATCATGCTGATGGCAGAGTGAGAATTTGGCGGAAACAGCATGAAAGCATGCACCCCATATGCATGAGTACAACCCTTCAAGCTGGTGGGGGCAGTGTTATGTTTTTGGGGCATGTTTTCCTGGCATGATTTGGGCCCTTTAATTCGTGTGGAACAACGTCTGAATAGCACAACATACCTAAGTATCATTGCTGATCAAGTTCATCCTATCATGGTGATGGCGTATCCCAATGGAGATGGCTTCTTTCAACAAGACAATGTGCCATGCCACGGTGCTCGTATTGTGCAGGAGTGGTTTCAAGAACATGAGGGAGACTTTACCTTGCTTAGGTGGCCCCAAAATCACCAGATCTCAATCCAATTGAGCATTTGTGGGATGGAGTTAAAAGAGCCATCAGGCAGCTGGTTCCACAACCATCAAATCTCACAGAACTGGACAGTGCTATTCATCAGGCATGGTGTCAGATTCCTCGCATCACCTTTCAACATCTCGTGGAGCCAATGCCAAGAAGAATCGCCGCAGTATTAAAGGCAAAAGGTGGCCCAATGAAGTACTGATGGGGTGGTCATAATAATCTGGCCACTCAGTGTATATTCACTAGAGGCCTGGCACACAAAATTCGTGTGCAGGTATGATCCCTAGTCCTGGCCTGCAATCAGGGCCATCTTCTGCAGCTGCCTGCAGCTGGCCCTGCCCCCTGCCACCACCCATCCCAGGTTCCCCATTCGCCATCAGGTGATCGGAGCCTGATGGCCGGGGGAGAGGGACCAAGAGGTTGGCCGTTCTGCCTGCTCCCTGGCCCCGTCCCCTGCCGCTACTCACCCCAGTTCCCCATTTGCCATTGGGTGATTGGAGCCTACTGGCCAGAGAAAGGGACCAAGAGGTGGTCAGTGCGCCTCATAGTGACTGGTCCAGCGGGCATTCTGGTTGTTCTGCCATTAGGGTCAATTTGCATATTACCCTTTTATTATATAGGATAGAGGCCCGGTGCATGAGTGGGGGCTGGCCGGCTTGCCCTGATGGGAGCCCCGGATCAGGGTGGGGGTCCCCACTGGGGGGTGGGGCCAGCCGTGGTCATTCTCGTCTCTGGTCGTTCTGTCGTTTCAGTCACTGGGCTTTTATTATATAGGATATTTTCCTATAATAAAAGTTTAAAGACAAAAATTCTATATAACTAATCAATCTCTCTTTACTAAAAGGATAGACTTCTATCCCTTTAGAAAATAAGAAAATAAAGATGATCATCATATACCTTTGTCCTGGGAATGTGAAAGATAACTATTTGAAAGTTTGAGACTTATGGGGCAGGTCCCATTACTATACTAGTAACTTTCTTACATTTCTCTATATCGTGGGCTTTAAGAGATTTGAAAGCAAATTTGCATATTTTATTGGATTTATTGGGATGACATTAATAAAATTCTATAGGTTTTAGAAAATTCTACAATACATAATTTTATATTGTGTGTTCACCACCCCAAGTCAGTTCTTCCATCATCATTTATCCCCCTTAACCCTCATCTACCTCACCTCATCCCCCTTTCCCTCTGGTAATATTGACTCTGTTGCCTGTGTCTATTTCTTCCTTTTTTTTTTGTTTAATCCCTTCACTTTTTCAGCCAAGCTCCCCCACAACCCTCTCCTCTCTGACAGCTGTCAGTCTGTTCTTTATATAAATTTGTTTCTATTTTGTTTACTAGAGGCCCGATGCACGAAATTCATTCAAGAGTAGGCCTTTCTTCCCCTGGCCCGGCCTCCCTCACAGCCCTGGCTTCGCGG